TATACATAAATACTTAAAAGAAATAATAGCAGTTTTTATGCACCTCCTAGCCGCACTTGGTTCTGGGCACTCCACTTCACATATTTGAATACAACTTTTATTTAAATCAGAAAACCAGATACAGAATGCAAACACATATGCAACGAACCAGTAAAAATAGCATTACATGTGGTTTCAAGAAAAATAGAAATTCTTTAGTCACTGAATTTCCGTTCTCAGCAAGTGAAGGAGGCCACTGTGGGGAATGTCCTGCTTATGGGGCAGGCTTTAATCTGATCCTCCTAGAGGAAACAAGTGCTCTGCCATGGACTGCAGTTGAATTTTTCAGCACATTGGATCTTGTAGGAAGACAGCAGAACTGCTTCATATTGAAAACTCTGAGCTTTTCAAGAGGTTATCAGTCTGTGAAGGGAGAACCCTACCTAAGCTGACCTAGGTGGAATGAAGAATCCTAGAATGAAGCCAACAAAGACTCAGCCTAGCTGGCTTTCTCTATTCATGGAAAAGTGAATAGATTATTTCCATTTCTCCCTGAGTGCCACCTACCTGTGGGGATGTAAAAATGCAGGGCATTCCCAGGTGGGTCAACAGACTCCTTTATCCAGCCTCCTGCTAGATGCAAGCACCCTCTGGAAGATGGAACTGCTGAACTTGCCTCCTGCAGACCATCCAGTCTATCCTGAAATGTCTCATGAAGGCATGTACCAATGACTATGTAGCCAGCCACCCTTCATGTGTCATCTTGGAGGTCCAACCGGAAAGCTGCAGTGATGGTCATTTCCCTGACAGAATTAGCTTTTTAAAAAAAAAAAAAAAAAATCCGAGCTCACAGAACATTTATTTCCCTTCTGTTGCTCACCATCACATTTGGAAAAGACAGTTTTTCAGAAGACAGGCCCCGAGCGACCTGCTTTAGCAGAAGCCCGTATCACAGGGGTGGAACCAGACCGTAAGGCTCGGCCACCCTTCAAAGGCACTTCTCGCAGGGACCTGGGGCCCAGTCAAGCCATGCACGAGGCAGTGGGAGGCACCATGGCTTTCAGGGATGTTTGCGCCACCCTGAGCCAGGCAGCCCAGCTACAGCTTGGAGTAGGTGACCTCCATGGGCGTCGTCTTCTCCATGGTGGCTTGGGTCGACTTCACGATGTCCTCCATCTGCAGCACGCTCATGTTCCAGGCAGCCATAAACTTCAGGCTTTGCGGCACGGGATGGTCCCTGGCATAGATGAGATTGACCTTGGCACCCTGCACCGCGACGGGGCTCTTGCTGGTGATCTCAGAGGCCAAGTCAAAGCTGCTCTCTATCATGGCCTCCTTATCTTGGAACATGTGACTGCCCAGACCACTCTTCTCAGCTTCTGGTGCCATCATTTTCCTGGCAGTGAAAAGCAGCTCGCTCACCAGGCTGCGGCGGCCAATGATATGTGGTAACCAATGTAAAGCACCCACATCATCTGCCAGCCAATGTTCACTTCCTGCAAGGGGTTGCAGCGGGAGGAGAAATGTTTTCAGACATCAGATGACAGGGAAGGAAAAGTGCAGAGACCTAGGAAATGAATGTGACCTGGAACCAGGTGTCATGGGTGCAGTAGCGGATATCGCAGGCTGAGAGGAAGCTCATACTTTCTCCAGCACCGTGAAAGTTCCTTCTGGTGAATGTTCCAAGCCTTCAGGGTCGTGTCTTCTCCTGGCATCATCAGGAATGTGCTGCCCATTTCCATCAGGTCGATGCCTGCTGTGAATATTTTCCCGGCACCAGATAACACCATGGCCTGGCACTCTGAGTCTTCAGCAATCTTTTGGAAGCACTCAACCATCTCTCTCCACAAGGCGGCATGCATTGCATTCCTTTTCTCCAGCTGGTTGATCTCCACGTGCAACACCTTGTCTCACACCCACTCCACATTTGGGGTCTCATAGCTGGCTGTGGAATTCTGCTGCTGGGATGACATGGCCCCAAAACTACGGCAGGAAGCCATCTGGATGGAGACCCGCTTCCGCAGCAGCCCTGAGGACAACACCCGCAGCCACCGCCATTGCTCGCCGCTCCCTGACTGGGGGTGGTGGGCCCTGACAGAATGAGCTAGGATCCCACTGGACACCTTTAATTACTGGAAGAATAAGTCAGTGTGCTACACTTGTGCAGGATATGGGCATGGAACAGGTGCCTTCTTGCCCAGAGAAATCTGCCTGAAGGAGATGAACAGGAAGGCATGGGAATCCATCAGTCCTATGTTCTCTGAGATACTCTTCCAGGGATGAGTGTTGAACCCAGCGAAATGTAAAAGGTAGATTCATATGATTTTTATTGTTATTGTTGCTACTGTTACTGGTCGTTTCTAGCCAAAGATTTCATTCAACATCTTTAGTGTTATATGTAGAAGAAAAAAATAGAAAAGGAAACTTATATTTTAACTGTTTCTTGTGTCCTGCATATACCCGCTACTCTTGGTCAGCTTTCATAGCAGGAATATTATTAAAGATATTCTCTGAAAAATGAAAGAATAAAGTGAGTGATGGAAAGATTAAGTAAAAGTAGGGGAAGGTAACAGTACAGTGAATAGAAATAAGAATGATGTGCAAGAACGATGAAGAACTGCTGAACTAGAAAAAGTTAAAGAAAGGATAGAATGAGAAGAGGAAAGGAGGCAAGAGCCCACCCCAATGATTATCTAGTGTGTTTGGCTGTAAGCTTTTAAATTAACCAGACTGTGGTGCATTATGTACAAGTTGCTAATTTTAAGTATGGCAATACTTGAGACTAAGCTGTCCAAAACATTGCTATCACAAGTAAAAGACAAGGGAACAATGACAGACATTTTCTAATAGTGACACATAGAAAATGTGTTTTCTTGCTTGACAAGAAGAGGATTGTTTAAAAAACTGTTTAAACAAAGACACATAGAAACATAGTGAGTCAGAAGGGGTCTCCCGGGTCATCTAGTCTCCAGCTGGCTCCATTCTTGTAATATTTAACATGTGGTTGTCCAATCTTTCTTTGAACCCTCACTGATGGGACTCCCACCACCTCCCATGGAAGCCCATTCCATACCCTAGGATTCCTAACTGTCAGGAAGTACTTCCTGATATCCAAACTGAAGCCTGGTTCCTTGAGCTTTGCCTCATTGGAATGAATCCTGCCCTTCACTACAGGGAAGAACAGGTCATGGCCCACCTCCACATAACATCCCCTACGTACCTATAAGTCACTAAAAGATCCCCTTGGATTCTTCTTTTTTCCAGGCTGAAAAGACCCAGTTCCCTCAATGTAATCTCATATGTCCCCCTCCACCCCCAACCAATGCAGCTATCATCAGTGTGACCCTACGTTGAACTGATTCTAACCTAGCTATGTCTCTTCTATAATGTGGAACAGAATTTGACACAGTACTCCAGTTGTGGACTCACCGGAATCTTATAGAGAGGTACTAACACCTTTCTCAATCTGGAAGCCATGCTTCTGGCTATACATCCAAGGGTGGCGTTTGTCTTCTTAATCATATCACACTGTTGGCTGGCTGATGTTTAACTTGCTATTGATAAGTACTCCAAGATCCCCTTCACAAGTGCTGCTCTCCGGGCTCTTATCCCCCATCCTGTACCTATAGCACCTATCCCTAAGTCCCAAGTTCAAGATCTTGCACTTATCCACACTGAACTCTGTCCTGTTGCCCCCCACCCACTTCCACAGCCTGTCCAGATCCTTTTGTATCCAGAGAACTTGCTCCTCAGTTGTGGCCACCACCCACAAATTTTTGTCAGCAGACTGGTTATCCCCTCCCTCCTCCAGGTCATTGATAAAGAGGTTGAACAGAATCAATCCTAGAATTGAGTCTTGGGGGTCTCCACTCATCACTAGCTGCCATCCTGATGATTCTCCACTTAGTCAGCCTCTGCTTGCAGTCTGTCAACCATGCCCCAATCCATCAGACAGTGCATCAATCTATCCTGAAGCTCATCCATTTCTGAAGCAGGGTATCACTGAATCCAAAACCCTGCTGAAATCCAGGTAAACCACATGCACCACGTCCCCTCCATCTAGCTACCTTGAAACCTTGCCATAGAATTCCACCAAGGTTCATCTGGCAGGACCCATTTTTGTGGAAGCCATGTTGCGTGGCTGTCAACCACTCTCCCCTATCTAGGGTTTCTAAAGTTTTCCTTATGAACTTTTCCATTTTCTTTCCCAGAATGGACATTAGGCTAACTGGCCTGTAATTCCTCTTGTCTCCTCTGTTACCCTTTTTGAAGATTGGGACCACTGATGCTACCCTCCAGTCCTCCGGTACTTCTGATTTCTGTGAAGCCTGAAAAATGAAGGCCAATGGATGTGAGAGGACCCCTGCCATTCCTGAAGTACCCTCAGGTGTAACCTGTCATGACCAAGTGCTTTTGCACAGTCCAAGGCCCTAGGTGTTCCTCAACTTCTAGGCAGTGACTCCAATCTTTACCCCTTAACCCCAACCTCATCCATCCCCCAAAGTAGATCTCCCCCAACCTGCTTTGGGGAGAATACAGCAGCAAAATAATCATCTGTGCCTGTTCCCTCACATCAATTACCAGATCCCCTCATCCCATCTTCCCCTTCTTCTTTACATGAAGGTAGAAGCCCTTTTTGTTGCTCTTGTCATTTTTTGCAAGTCTTAGCTCATAATCAGCTGCCTCTTCTTGGTTATACACTTGTCCACTTGCCCAGTGTCTTTTTCCTGTGGGAATCCTTTTTTAGTTCAAATCCCTCTTACCACCTCTCTTCTCATCCACGGTGGCACCCTCCTATGACTCTCCACTTTGCTAATCAGTGGTATCTTTAAGGCTCACACCTCCAAGACCTCCCTTTTTAATGCCATCTACCCCTCCTGAACTCCCTTGCCTTTCAGTGCCCTCTCACAGGAGATTTTCCCCAGCCTGGCCTTCAGTTGACCAAAGTTGGCTCTTGTGAAGTCCCATCTCATAGCACTTGACCCATCGCTCAGCCCTGATTAAAGAATGTCATAACATTATGAAAACATAATTCATCTTTATTGCTGGTGAACATGTACATTTCTATTGTTACAAGGAGTAAAAATGAGGAATGTTTAAGAATAAGTGACCATTTTTAATTTGGAAAGGGGTATCCATGTAAGTTCACTGTGGCAGAAAACAACAAAGTATCTTCTGGTACCTTAAAACAAACACATTCATTATAGCCTAAGCTTTTGTGAGCCAAAGCTCAATTCCTCAAATAGAGGGGATACCGCTTGATTTGTGTTATTTTTTTCTCCCAACCTTAATTCATATTTTCAAGTAAGTTTTCCTTACTTTGCTTTAACTTCCCCATTTGTATAATGCCATGATCTGTAAGATGGTGGGATCATACTGGAATGTGAGGTGCCAGTTCTCATTTTACTGTATAAGCACTGAAAACATTTTAGTGTGGCTTATATACAGAAAGATTGTAAGAAAGGAGTCAAACACTTGGCAGGATGGCTGGCTACCTAAGGAGATAGTATTGTGCCCATCTGGAGATTATGTGAAAAGAAGTCAGAATTATTAACAGCAAATGAACCCCTCCCCCCCAAGAAAACTGCACAGTTGTGCAAATTCTCTGTAGGATTAGCAACGTTCCTCTTATTTCTATGCTTTGTACTCTCTTTAGTAGCTGTATGAATGGGGACCAGACAATGAACTGTAGGTGAAGATAATAGTTCCTACTATTCAGAATTAGTAAGAGCTCTCCAAATGCCTTTTTGATCATGGTGCCATAACAAACCATAGCCAATACATTTTTGAGGAAGCAACATACTAACTTACAAGGTTGGGACATTTAGTTAACAAAATGCAAGCATCTGTAATCACATTCTTTCAACAGCTCTCAAAGCCAAACAAACCGAATGTTTAACTTTCTATGAAATCAGTTTTTAAGTGTAGTCTCTGTAAGAAAATGCAAAATACTGTGCACAGAGATGCATAAACATTCATTCAGTGGATTAGAAAAGCCCAAGAGAAGAGAAATTGACTTCAGACGAGCCAATAAGTACAGAAAATAAATTTGGCTTCACTTATGTAGATAGAGTGCCCCCTAGCCTTCAATAGGAGAAGTATACATATAATGTTCATCAGCCTTAATTTTTTTTACTTCATTTTCAGGTATGGCTGAAAGATATTCCTTTTGCTAGAACAGAAACTTCCCGCTAATTATAAAGACCCTCAAAATATCTCAAAATCAGCATCCTTTGTGCTCTTCTTCTACACCCTTGATGCAGACAATGTGTGTATTAGCAAATTCTGCAAACTTTCAACCAGGAATAGCATGACACTCCATGCCTGTTAATGTCAAAATTCACGTATGAATTTATCAACATTAGCATTACCATTGAAACATATTTCAACTAATCCCATTTTTGAAACCAATCATGTATTAAAAAAGGTTTTATATGTTTTCAGAGATTTGAACATTTCACATTGAGCTGTTGTTTTTGAGCAGCTTGATTTTTTGCTATACAATATTAACAAATATATATTTTGTTATATATTCAACAGTGGTGCCACAATGTGTCCAACCTGAAACAGTATTTTAGTGCCTAAGGGTTCTAACCTTAGAGGCCACCAATAAATAATTTTAGATGGATGGATGAATAGATATTTCTTCTCACTTTAGCCATAGCTTCCTCAGTTTTCAGTGGAACTCAATTGGATCTTGTAAGGCCTTCCTGTGTCTTACAAGAATACAAGAACCCAAGAATAGTCTGGGAATACAGAAGACGCCATATAGAAGAAACCATGGCTACCACTTCATGCCATAGCTGGCATTCAAGAAACTACAATTCTTTAACATAAAAGTTTCTGCCAAGCACAAGGAAGTTTGGAAGGGAGTTGGAGAGGGAGACATATTCTATGAATGATTGCAAATCTAAAAAGGAAACTCACTCTTACGCCATTCTACTCATTTCTTTTCCATGTTTATAGTTATATATAAATGTGTGTACAGTTTAAAAAGATGTTATTACATATTTTATGCTCCAGGGAGCTTACATATACAATTTTATAATTATCTTAATAGTTACCTTTTTCCTCCTCTTAGAAAATCTGAATAGTTTATAAAAATAGATAGGGAGATCTTCTTCATATTGATCAACTGTTCATCTGTACATTTTAGATAAAACAACACAACAAAACATTAAAAGAGGGTTAAACAAAGCAACAGTGTGAGGAAGGTCAATATGCACAAAATGGTTCATGGTATAGTGAGCAGAATGTTGGACTGAGATGTGTGAGATCTGGATTCTAGTCCACCTCCCACTCCTCCTGGCCATGAAGCTGACTCTGAGATTTTGGGCAGCCATTGTCTCTCAACCTGACTTACTGCAATGGGTTGTTGTGAGAAACAAAAAGGAGAAGATGAGGACAATCTAACAACAGTGGGGTCCTTGCAAGAGGAAAGAGGTAGCACATAATGTAATCACAACACATTCTGAAGTTGTAAAAAACTCAGTGGAACACACTTTTAAGATCATATTGAACAGGAACTCAAAAGCTGCTGGTTTGCCAACAACTGGGTTTCCTAAAGAAACTGGACTAGACCTTGTTTAATCATGCCTTAATTACTAATAGATTGGACTTCTGCAATATTGTTCTTGTAAAATTACTTTCAAAAACAGTTCAGAAAGTACAACTGGTCCTGCAAAAGCAGGGGGTTGGACCCAATGGCCTTCAAGGCTCCTTCCAACTCTAGTATTCTGTGATTCTGTGGTCCAAAATGTGTTTCACCAGGATTCCTGCTTAAACCGACAGATCAGGCCATAGAGCTCTGATCTTATATCAGTGTTGCTGGATGCTTATCTATTTCTGGATCAAGTTTAGTTTTATTTCTATCCTGTTTTTCTATTACAACAATAATCCAAGTTGCTAGTGTGTTAGCCTTTAAAGAGCAGGATAACCAAGAACCACTTTTTTCTCATATTGAACCTGCCTTAAATCCAAAGGCTGGTTTAAAAGGCCCCACTATCTGCCCCATCACCACAAGGGAAGAAACAAGTAGGTTTTTGGACACTGCTGTGTTGCAACATTAAGGCTATTGTATTATATTTTAAATTTGAAGTGGTTATTGTTAATATTGGTTGCATTTTTGGCAAGCTACTTAGTATAAGTGTATAGAGGAATGGGGCATAAATTGAATAATAAAAATAAACTGGGAAGAATATCAACACATCAAATGTAATACAGACTGAAACATGTCTCATGCATGTGTAAGAAATGCAATTTATAAAGTTGAGAAAAGGTCACTGGTGACAGTTTAGAAGCCTAGGAATATGCAACTCTCTCAGACTCACAGAGACCCATGTTGTTTCAAAAGAACACAACTGTATTTACAAAAATGTTATTAATCACATAACTTTAAATAATGACATTGCACATCCATTAAAACGATTAGAAATAGAGAAATGCCTGAATTCAGAAAATGCATGCTAACAAACTGAATGGCCTTCCTTGCCATATCCTTGACTTGCTGGATAACAAGTTGACTTGATGGATAACAGCATTGTATAAATAAAGCTATTGCTTAGAGCTTCTTTAAATGGAAAGCTGGACAGAAAAAATGAGGAAATGGAGGAACTTGACAAGGGTGCATTCTTTATTCCAACCTTCCTTTAGCTGTGGCATTTGGGCCTATAGAAATATTGGACCATTCAAGGCAGGGTCCTTTGCAAACCCTCAGTGCATGGAGACAATGGGTTGGATCCAGAATTCCTTAGATGCATTGAAATCAATTGGTCTTCAGACATGTCTAAGCCCTGATTTCAGTGGCCCTTGTCCAAGTATGAGTTAGTCTGCATTCAACACAGTGATTTGGTCTGCCTTGGACATGCTTAAACAAATCATGCTTTGCTTTCATTTCATGAACTGGGTGTTTTCCTCCTCTTTTGTCCACTTCCTCAATGCAGAGCAGCTGTTACTGTTTTTACCATTCCACTACTTCTGCAGCCAGGTAAAAAAACCCATGTTTTCAGTTAATACAAAGTGACAATCCATGGAGTAAACAACCCAGTTTGCAACCTAACAATAAAAAGGGGTCCTCTCTCCCTTCCTTCCAATGCTTATACCCCGTCCACCACTTGGGACAGCTTTTTATGGCTAACAAACCATGGTTTGTTAGTGTAGCTGGGTCTCCAAAACATGGCAGTACAGAATTCTAAAACCCATACCAGGGGTGCTACTGTGTACCCAGCGAATTGCTTATCTCTTAGCTCAACTTGAAATGTTGTTGTTGTCGCGAAGTCGTGTCCGACCCATCGCGACCCCATGGACAACATTCCTTCAGGCCTTCCTGTCTTCCACCATCTCCTGGAGTCCACTCAAGCTCACACCAACTGCCTCAGTGACTCCATCTAGCCACCTCATCCTCTGCCGTCCCCTTCTTCTTTTGCCATCTATTGTTCCCAGCATTAAACTCTTCTCCAGGGAGTCCTTCCTTCTCATTAGGTGGCCAAAGTATTTGAGTTTCACCTTCAGTATCTAGCCTTCTAAAGAGCAGTCAGGGTTGATCTCAACTAGGACTGACCGGTTTGATCACCTGGCGGTCCAAGGGACTCACAGGAGTCTCCTCCAGCACCACAATTCAAAGGCCTCAATCCTTTTGCACTCAACCTTCCTTATGGTCCAGCTTTCACAGCCATACATTGCAACTTGGAAAACCATAGCCTTGACTATATGCACTTCTGTTGGCAGGGTGATGTCTCTGCTTTTTAGTATGCTGTCTAGATTTGCCATAGCTTTCCTCCCCAGGAGCAAGCGCCTTTTAATTCCATGACTGCAGACCCCATCTGCAGTGATCTTGGAGCCCAGGAAAGTAAAATCTGTCACTACCTCCATTTCTTCCCCATCTATTTGCCAGGAAGTGAGAGGACCGGATGCCATGATCTTAGTTTTCTTAATGTTGAGTTTCAAGCCAACTTTTGCACTCTCCTCCTTCACCCGCATCAAGAGGCTCCTGAGTTCCTCTTCACTTTCTGCCATGAGAGTGGTATCATCTGCATATCTGAGGTTGTTGATATTTCTCCCAGCAATCTTAATTCCAACTGGTGATTCATCTGGCCCCGCCTTCTCATGATGTGCTCTGCATATAAGTTAAATAGGCAGGGCGACAGTATACAGCCTTGCTGAACTCCTTTCTCAATTTTGAACCAATCAGTGGTTCCGTGTCCAATTCTCACTGTTGCTTCTTGATCCGCATATAGGTTTCTCAAGAGACAAATAAGATGGTCTGGTACTCCCATCTCTTTAAGAACTTTAAGAATTTGTTGTGATCCACACAATCAAAGGCTTTAGCATAGTCAATGAAGCAGAAGTAGATGTTTTTCTGGAACTCCCTAGCTTTCTCCATGATCCAGCATATGTTGGCAATTTGATCTCTAGTTCCTCTCCCTCTTCGAAATCCTGCCTGTACTTCTGGTAGTTCTCGGTCCACATACTGCTGGAGCCTAGCTTGTAGGATTTTGAGCATAACTTTGCTAGCATGGAAAATGAGTGCAATGGTGCAGTAGTTTGAACATTCTTTGGCATTGCCCTTCTTTGGGATCGGAATGTAAACTGACCTTTTTCAATCCTGTGGCCACTGTTGAGTTTTCCAAATTTGCTGGCATATTTAGTGTAGCACTTTTACTGCATCGTCTTTTAGGATTTTGAATAGCTCAACTGGAATACTGTCGCCTCCACTAGCTTTGTTGTTGATCAGACTTCCTAAGGCCCATTTGAGTTCACATTCCAGGATGTCTGGCTCGAGGTCAGTGACTACCCCATTGTGGTTATCAGGGACGTTAAGCTCTTTCATGTATAGTTCTTCTGTGTAATCTTGCCATCTCTTCTTAATATCTTCTGCCTCTGTTAGGTCCCTGCCATTTTGGTCCTTTATCATGCCCATCTTTGCATGAAATGTTCCCTTCATATCTCCAATTTTCTTGAAGAGATCTCTGGTCCTCCCTATTCTATTGTTTTCTTCTATTTCTTTGCACTGTTCATTTAAGAAGGCATTCTTATCTCTTCTAGCTGTTCTCTGGAATTCTGCATTCAATTGTTTGTATCTTTCTCCTTCTCCCTTGCCTTTTGCTTCCCTTCTTTCCTCAGCTATTTGTAAAGCTTCCTCAGACAGCCATTTTGCTTTCTTGCATTTCTTTTTCTTTGGGATGGTTTTAGTTGCTGCCTCTTGTACAATGTTGCAAACCTCAAGCCATAGTTCTTCACGCAGTCTATCAGATCTAATTCCTTAAATCCATTTGTCACCTCTACTGTATATTCATCAGGGATATGATTTAGGTCATACCTGAGTGGCCTAGTGCTTTTCCCTACTTTCTTCAACTTAAGCCTAAATTTTGCAACCAGAAGCTCATGATCTGAGCCACAGTCAGTTCCTGGTCTTGTTTTTACTGACTGTATAGAGCTTCTCCATCTTTGGCTGCAGAGCACATAGTCACTCTGATTTCTGTGTTAACCATCTGGTGATGTCCATGTGTAGAGTTGTCTCTTGGGTTGTTGGAAAAGAGTGTGTGCTATAACCAGTGTGTTCTCTTGACAGAATTCTTCCAGCCTGTGCCCTGCTTCATTTTGCACTCCAAGGCCAAACTTGCCTGTTATTCTGGTTATCTTTTGGCTTCCTACTTTAGCATTCCAATCCCCCATGATGATAAGGACTTCATTTTTTGATGTTAATTCTAGAAGGTGTTGTAGGCCTTCATAGAACTGGTCAACTTCAACCCCTTCAGCACCAGTGGTTGGGGCATAGACTTGAACTTTTGTGATGTTGAATGGTTTGCCTTGGATTTGAACTGAGATCATTCTGTCATTTTGGAGATTGTATCCCAGTACTGCTTTTCCTACTCTTTTATTGACTATGAAGGCTACTCCATTTCTTCTAAGAGATTCTTGCCCGCAGTAGTATACCTGATGGTCATCTGAATTAAATTCACCCATTCCTGTCCATTTTAGTTCACTGATTCCTAAGATGTTGATGTTCAGTCTTGTCATCTCTTGTTTGACCACATCCAGCTTGCCTTGATTCATGGATCTTACATTCCAGGTTCCTATGGAGTATAGATCTTTGCAGCATCGGACTCTCCTTTCACCACCAGATACATCAGCAACTGAGTGTCCTTTTGGCTTTGACCCAGTCCTTTCATTCTTTCTGGCGCTACTAGTACTAGTCCTCTGCTCTTCCCCAGTAGTATATTGCACACCTTCCGATCTGAGGGGCTCATCTTCCAGCATCATATCTTTTTGCCTTTTGGTACTGTCCATGGGTTTTTATGGCAAAGATACTGGAGTGGGTTGCCATTTCCTTCTCTGGTGGGTCACGTTTTGTCAGAGCTCTCTGCTATGACCTGTCCATCTTGGGTGACCCTGCACGGCATAGCTCATAGCGTCATTGAGCTATACAAGCCTCTTCGCCAAGACAAGGCAGTGATCCATGAAGGAGCAACTTGAAATACTGATGCCTAAAATATTGACTTTCATGCAGAAGCATTGCTCTGCATTAGATTAGAAAAACAAAATTTTTGAACCAAGATGGACCAAAATATTTATTCAAGTACAGCCCTGCTGGATCAGACCAAAACTCCCTTCTAATCCTGAATTTCGTTTCTCCCATACGCTGCTGGGAAGCCCACAAGTAGGTAATAAAAGAGAACTGAATTACTAGTGGGGAAAGGGAACTTTCCTTTTTTACATTTCTTTAGATTAACTTCTCTTAGAATTCAAAGAAGTCTTGAGAAGATCCCTCCAACAGCTTACTTCCCATTACCCCACATTTTTCAGGATAGACCTGACTCCAGAGAAACCTTTTGAAAAAGCAGAAAGCTGCAGTAGGGGAGAAGTTCATGAATTAGGATCCAAGCCACTGTTTCCAAGCTAATTGAATAAAACAGGGAAGTTGGCTATGTTTGTTTGGCTCACGACTGTTTTCCAATTTGACATTGTATTGAATATGCTCCTTGCCCAAGAAAGAAAAGCCAGTCACAAAGACTCTTTCACTTTCACCTCATTGTCAGAATAATCCCAAAAAAACTTACAGAGAAATACCAAATGTAATTATGCATACCTGATTAAATAAAAATTAAGGCCACCTTCATATGTCATTTTCCAGGGCAAAGCATTCTTGGCATTTTATCAATGCATTCACGTTTTCATTTATAACCTTGGTCCAGGGTTCAGCAATTCTCAGACGATATGCTGATGTGCTACAGTGGCCACCAGAGATCTCTCCACTTTGTACCATTGTTCAGGAAGCAATTCAAAGTATAGAAAAAACCCTTTTCAGCTGAATGCACCACTGTTTGGAGGTTACCTGAGGAGTAGAAAAAGACATTTCAAAGCTATGCGAGTGTTTTCAGAAGTGGCAATATACAGTCTTCTGCAAATATCTCATCCACTTTATAACTGTTGGAAATAGAATGCAACCAATGTAAGCTTGTAAAAACTGTCAGGGTGTATCAGGAAATAGAAACTATGGGGTACATTCAGAGTCAGATGGATTAGGAGTTACAGTGTGTATGCAATCACTTGGCAAATCTGACATCTGTATAGCCCTGTGAACAGGCAAAATGAATTCTATGAATTCTTTAGGTTTCTGCTGAGGTACAGAATTATGTTAAAACTTCCCTCACCTCTTGACAGAAGAAATTGTCATAGTCCATGGAATTATGTGCTATCATTGACATGTGGGTTGTAATTATTTGCACTTCAGTCTTCACTGTATGTCAAACTCATCTCAAGTTTTAAAAGTTTACATTACTCAGTTTACAAACTGAGTTGCCCTGTTTGTACCTACTGATAACAACCCACTGATATAAAAGCCATTGTTTTTGTGCATAAGCAGAAGAGAGTAGGTGTGTTGCCTGCAGAATACTTATCTCTTCTACTTTTACTTTACAGTACATGATCAAATACTACATAGATTGCAGAGGCTCGCATATGAATCTGAAATACTGGGCTATTTAGGGGCTAAACAAACCAGCAGTTAACTGCTGGGTTGTTTAGTCTCAAAAAAAATTAGCAATATGGGTCCACACATCATGTTCCACATTCTATGAAAGTGCAGATTTTTGGCTGGGAAGGTAGAAGAGGCATGTGCACTGCTTCCCACTCATCCTCAACAACTCTTTGGTTTTTAAACCAATGCCATTTCTTTACTTGTAAACCAGGTCACTGAATAGCTTATTTGAAACAATATGATCTTAAAGTTAATCTTGCACAAGGTAAAATGCAAAGGCTTGATAAAAAGTGTCCTTATTGCAAGCATGCATTTAGAACACACCTGTGAAATGTTAGTATAATGTTATATGAACTGGTAACTCTGTGATTATAGAACTGTTATTACTGCTATACTTGAACTTGCTTAGAGAGACCTCAGGAACAGGTACATAGGGTTTTTTTCCCAGCAAGCTTCCTGGGAAAGAAACTCTATGTACATGTTCCTGGAATAGCCTTTCCTAACTTGCTCCCATTTAGTTGTTTTGTGTGTCATAGAAACAAAGAAAGCTGTTTAATGTTGAATCAAAACATTGATCCATCTAGCCCAGAACAGTTGACATTGACTGGTACCAACCAGTCCAGGATCTTTTTTCAGCCCAGGCTAAAGATGCTGAGGACTGAATTTGGAACCTTCTGCAAGCAAAACATGCATTCAGTGTTTACACTATATAGTCTCTCCTATGACAATTCCCAGTATTCATGATCATTGTTCATGCTGGCTATGAGCCCACGGGAATTAAAAGTCCAAAATATCTAGAAAGCACCAAGTTGGAGAAGACTGCTTAAAACTACATTTCTAGCTTACAACTCAGTGGTTTGTATTCTAGGACAACTTAAGGAAGTTCATGGAAAGAATCTGTACTGCAGCAACCTGTTATGACTCATAAAAAATTTTTTCTGGAGTACTGGGGACTCCTCTTGAACCATGTTGGGGGAACACAGCAGAAGATGGGGCAGGCCTTCCATGAGGTTTATCTTAGCATCGAAGGCAGAAATTTCACAATCCCTTCCTTTGAAAGCAGACACCCCACAACCACCTATAAATTGAAATAATAAATAAATAAAGCTAGTCCCTATTGCTCAGGAAGGCCCCTTAACCCTCCACGGAGAATTTTGTGAGGGCCACATGTGGCTGCAGGAGGGGAGAGTTTTATTATACTTTTTAAATGTAGTATTTACAATATAAAAACATGCAGAAAGCTGATCATGGAAGGTAAGCAAACTATAATCTATTGTGGAACTGCAGCTGCAAGATAGGAGACCAGGCTCTTTCAGCCTGCCCGGGACTGTTTCTCAGTTCTTCCCTGTAACAGATTCCATTTGAAGCCATTCCTCATTTTTTTAAAGTAAATGAACAAGACCTCTGCAGAGGCATGATTTCTTCTTCCTTCCATTCTCCCTTATGTCCTATTAGATGATAAATCATGTTGCAAAGGGCCTATATTCGGGTACCTTGCACATTTTCAGCTCTCAGGAATAAATTAAATTGATACCTACCAGTATTTTAAGCCATTTTACTGTTTTTTAAATCTTGAGTTTCACCACAAAAGAAGTTCTCTTCAGTTTACAAAATATGAGAGTGATTGTCCTGTTCTTGAACCAACAAGTCGCAAAGCCTTATTTCCGAAGTTAGGCAGTCATTTTGCAATAAGGTGTGCTTTCAAGCACACACCCTGTATGTTAGCCAAAGCATATGTCTTCAATGCCTTGTTTTCTATATTGTTTATTGTTCATGATGTTGAAAGAAGTGACAGTGATTCAGCTCTTTTTTTGAGTATGGGGGGGGTGGGGTCACCACTTGGAATGGTCACATTCTTTTTTTCTTTTTAATTTTTTTTCTCTGTTATCATGGGCCATAGTATAACTTCATTATTGCTTTTTTTTCTTTTCTCTTTTTTTTCTTGAAGACCATTCCATTTCTTTATTTTTTAAACATCTTAAGGTGATAAGGAGATATATGCAAAGCAGTCATACACTGTATCATTAAAACTCATACGTAAAATACGTACACAAATCCAACAAAAGGCTAGTACATAGTAAAGCCTAAGCATACTACTATGCAATATTATGAATACATAACTTTAGAGAGACTTCAGTTTAGTACTGTTATCTATAATGTCTGAAAACATTCACAAAGATCTTATGCCAATTTTCATTCCATACTTGGAATAAAACAAACAAAAATAGCTATATTATAACAACTGTTGGTCATTTGGTTGTGTGACCAATTCTTTAAATTACAAAGAACCCAAAGAATTCTGCAATGTTTCTGTAGAAGTAATAAAAACCTTGCATATGTTCCTAATATGATGTCTTTAGCAATCATTTACCCAAATGTAAATGCAACTTGAACATCAATCACTCAAAATACAGGATCAATCAGCTGCTTGTGTCTTATCTGAAAACCCATTGCTTTCACCCAAACTCCTTGTAGTAGAAATATGCAAAAGTACATTAGGAAATGCTAATGCAACACAGGTACAGTTCTAGCATTGTTGAAAACTGAATCATCTTCTCCAAGAACGAGATTCATTGTCATCGTCATCTTCATCATCATCTTGAAGCAATGAGTCATCTACCAAGGATTCTTCCTGAAACTATAAAGAAAATGCTTAATAAGATACTTCTTGAGGAGCTGATAGAGCACACCATGAAAAAAGGGGAGAATTTCTATACTTTTAAGACTGTGCAAACAGTTACCACAAGTTGAAAAAATGAGGAACAGGCTGACTGGGTTTAGATGACACGCTGAAACTTCTTGTGACTTAATTTATCCACGAGGAAGCATGGCACCCATAGGCAGCAAGCTATATTCACGGCATATGAAACAAACCTCCTATAACCCTAAAACACACCAAAACTTATCTAAAGGTTGCAAATTCTGAGCAGCAGCTGTAAATCCAAGATGGCAGCTACATGTACCACAGCCTCTCCATGGCCAACCCAGGGTGGGCTGTCAATCACTGAACAACTATTTCTGATAATAAATTGTTTAATATCTCCAGTCAAAAATATTTATCTGCCTCTATAAAGATATCAATGGGAAAAAATCTCTTAAGAATCAACAGATATATCCCTCCTGTTGAAATTTACATATTAAAATCAAACTGGTATTCTGCTACAAACTGTATAGCAATAATATGAAAAGCGCTCCGACTTCAATTCTTACTATATTTGGTTTATTGCATAACTGACTGAATCTCAGGCTTTCCCAATCCAAAAACAAAGGCTGATGTCTAACATTGCTTCCATAGACTGGATTTCAAGACAGAAGGTGTCTGTTGGCATGTTGTGCACAGGAGCATCAGCAAGCTCAAGTGACGCCTCAAGCACATGTGCTCCCCCCATCCCCTGTGACTAGAAGAATTCCAGCAAATTTTAGTTTCATTTTTCCCAGTTACACAATGGTCAAGCCAAGAAATGTTATATGATGCAAACTCTAGTTTCTATACAGCTTGGTCCACACACTCTTCTTTCATACGAGCCTGCACAGCTTTTACCGTCTTTGAGAGTAGCCCTTCCCTTAGTACCACCACCTTCAGTGGCATATTTTCCAGTTGTACAAGACAGGGTCTTGTTGGCAGGGCTGAGAACTCCTTGCTGAGGGAGACTAGTCTGGTTACCACTCTGTTGTCCATCTGCCAGCAGATGAATATATTTATTTAAGCTGCCTTTGGTGTATAAGCCAGTTTGTGGGATCAGGTGCTGTTTTCAGTCTCTTACAATTGCATTTTTGAGTGTGTTCCTATGATTGTAAGTCACTTTAAAATGCTATTTTCTTAGAAGAAGAGAAGTACAAATCAAATCAACCAATAAATGATTTGCCAATCTAGTCAACAAAGGAATACGGGACTCATTTTTGGCTTGTTTAGTAACTGACTAGAGTTTCTTTAAAATGCAGTTTCTAATTTGTATGCCAGGATTTGGAGAAACTGAAAGCATTTATGTATTTATTGTTTCAATTCTATACCTTCCCATAACCAAAGCAATCTATGTGCATAAAACAACAGTGTATAAAACAATAAAATAAGAATAAAAGTATCATAAAAACAAAATAACACTAAAATGCATTTAAAATGGATTTAAAATAGCTAAAAAATCCAGTAAAATATTCCAGGAATCTTCCTTTACTCAATGTGCAGATACTCATGCTAAGTACTTGGTAAGCATTATGTGAGAAGGTGGCCAGCAGTCATATTTGAACATAGTGCTAGACCATGATTCAGCTAGACCATAATCCTTGAGCACACTTGTGTACTCCTTTATTCTCGTCTTGCATGGCATCAAAGAGGAGATAAGAGCTTTCTCATCTTCTTGTACACCAGAGGATGAGAAGAAACCATAAAAGCACAAAGCTCGTGCATGTAACAATAAACAGCACTGTAACCATTCCACTACACCAACCAATCCAGTTTACCAGCACTGAGAGCCTGATACAGGGCAGAATCCAACCAGGCTATGCCACAAGTGGCCCTGACAACAGATTCTGCTCCATAAGTGGGGGCCTCCGCTGATTCCATATTGTAAGCCCCACTGTTTGCACAACAGGGATTTATGTTTCCTTTAGAAAGTTTTGAAACAAGCAGAAATGCTAGTTTCTGGATCAGGGCAGGTTGGTGAAGCTCCTTATGGGTAATTCCACTTGTTTCTGGATCTTAGAAGAAGCACTAAATCCCTCTAGGGCAAGCAGTAGGAATCATCTTGAAATGTGTAACAGTCTGCTTAGCCACTGCCCACAGTTCAACAAATGAATGCACAGGCTTGCATTCTGCATCTATAACCTGGCTGCCATCTTGCTGCATAATCAATGATTACACAGCATTTATTAATCTGATTTTTAAAAATATACTTGAAAGCCTTCATGGAAAGCAAGGCATCTACTACCAGCTTCAAGTTTTTTCAATATGGAAGAAAAGAACCTGGATTAAAAAGCAAGCACGCATCTTGGACTATCCTCCTACTGTACCAAAATACGCTTAATCACAAAAAATAACTTTAACATTTATTTAAACAAATGTAACCTTTCTGCAATTAACATATACCACTGGAGTTCAGAACCAGAGGTAATCAGTTCTGGGTGAGAAGCTATAAAAGTAATGTTCACAAATGAAACACATCTTTTAGGAGGTGCTTATACAAAGGGCAGAGCTGAAGGCCATAAATAAGAGAAAATGTCCTGACACTGGAACAGCAAATCCGACAAAATTTATGGTGAAAGCAATATAGGTTTGCACTTATACTTTACATCTAATACATAGGATCTGTTGATTTCAAATATTCTATTTTGCTATTTCTAGGTATCTGTGCCAAACTCGAGTAGAGAATTTTTATTTTAGGAAAAACTGACATTTAAGAAATACAAAATACTTGGGGGAACTTTGATTGGAAATCCATTATGTATGGGAATTTACTGAAGAACAGAGCTGACAGGTTCAGTAATAGTGGAAGAGAACATAAATTCATATGACCTGGCTAGATAAACCAGGAAAAGGCTGATACATGTAGGACAGAAAGCAGATCATCTTTTTAAAGTACAATCTAGTAAAACAAAGGATTTACAAAATATAGGTGTGTGCTGCATCAATACTACATGAAATACTAAGTACAAACTTTGAGAAGGTGAGACCAAACCAGACCAAGAAAAAAGTTGTACTTCCAATGGAGTGAAGATGAAAAAGCTGCAAGCTAAGCTAAGATCTGTATTATCAACTACTTGTGACAGTTCTGTATGAAGATTAAGTAAGCATTGTATTTCTGAGAGCATGCGGTAGGCACTGCAGAAAGGCTGGGGAAACCCAGGTACATATTTCTACTTAACCATAAAGCAATATGGGACAGAACAAAAAGGTATATACTTACTTCTTCCTCATCTGGCTCAGTCTCCTCTGTTTCCACTGCTGACATATTTGCGACTGGCTTGTTCCAGGCCAACTTCAAGTCTTGTCCTTTGAATCGTGCTCCATGGATAGCAGCCTAAAGAGGAGCACAAGAGGGATGTTTGTTCAGAAGGATGTTTGTTCACAAGGATCAGTCTAGCATTCTTTTCATACAATGGCCAATGGAAAATTCTCCCCTGCCATGTTCTCCAGTCACAGACGTACATATGCATACTGCCTCTTAATACTGGACGCAGCATATAACATGAGGACTAGTAATCATTGATAGCTTATTCTCCACAAATCTGTCTAATCCCCTTTTAAAACTACTGAAATTGGTGGCCATTGTGTAAAGAAGTACTTCCTTTTATCTGTCCTGAATCTCCTACCAATCAGTTTCATCAGATGCCTCTAGGTTCTAGCATTATGGAAGAGGAGAAAAATGTCCCTTTCTACTTTCGTAACACCAAGCACAATTTTGTATACTTCTATCATGTTTCTCTTTTCTCTAAGCAAAACTGTCCCAGAAGTTAAAACCAGAGGGAAGTTACTCCAGGACTTTGATCATCTTAGTTGTCCTCTACTGCACTTTTTCCAACTCTATACCTTTTCTAATTACACTGACTAGAACAATACACAGTATTCCAAGTGAGGTTGTATCATAGATTTGTTTAACTAGGGTATGATATTGGCAGTTCATGCTCAATTCCTTTCTAGAATATGTTTAACAGAGAATTTCACTGTTTCACCACAGCTAAAAACTAGATCAAAATCTACATTTAGCTGTCTACCATGGTCCCAAGATTTCTTTCCTTGTCGATCGCTGTTAGCTCAGTTCCCATTAGTATACACATTATTTTTTGCACCAACAACCATCACTTTCACACTTGCTTAGGTCAACTTGTATTTGGCCCCTTGATGTCCATTCTCCCAGTTTGGAGAAATCCTCACAATTTCTTTTTCCTTTAATCAAACTAATTAATTGTCTACAGCAAATCTGACCACCTCACTGCTCACACCCAATTTTAGATCCACATTCCAGAAGAACATCTTCTGTGAATGCTTCTTTAAAATGGGAGCAGTGAGAATCAACAACCCAAAGGGAAAAGAAAATAGGGCCACAACTGAGCTATTGTGTGAGATCCCCTGAGCACCCTGGTTGAAGCCCAAAGAATTGTCCCAAATTATTTCTCTCACTCATTTGCATGTAACAGTGGCAAATAGTAGTTAATTAACCTATGATTTGTCACAGTACATTTTTGGCCTACCTTCCTGCCATTTTGAATACATAGCTTTGGACTGCTTCAATAGAATTTATTCTATTATGTGCAAACACTATGACCTGGTCTGTAAATAAAAACAACCCTGAGTATGAGTTGAGTATAGACTGTTCTTGACTCATGGGTCAATTACACAAACAGCCCAACAGCATAAGCATTCTCTTCAGGAGCTCTTTGTGGCAAACAGCCCAAGGTTAAGCCACAGTGTACAGTTCATATGTAACAACAACCCACACTCTGATTTGTTACATGTGAACCAGGACTATGGCTGAATCAACTGTGAGTTAACCATGGGTCATTTAACTCATGATTAACGCAAATATTTTACATGGAAGTTACAGGAGTGTTCAAGAGCAATTCATGGATGTACTTGGGTTCATGAAACCCACAAGTAAGACAAAGACATGGTTTGGCTATCATGGTAGAAACCTTTGAATGAATTTTTCATAGGTTGTTGCTAGAAAACAAAAGCCTTGTTTGCAAAGTGCACAGGCCCGTGAACAGGCACCATATGAACAGCTGCACATTATCTGGGTTTATGTCTCAAGGAATAACCTCTGACTAGCAGCTGCATATTCAAAATGGCACGAATATGCTGCTTTGGTGAAACTGTGCTTTAATTAACTCATGATTTGCTATCACTACATGAAAACTGGGTCTCTGTGTTTTCTGGATTTGTTTCAAGAATAGACTTGGTTTCAATGCCTCATGATAAGCCCCTTTTCAAATTATCAAAATCAATTTCTGATATGGTATCAGAGTTTGCTCTTCAAAGAAAATACAAACCCCACGTGGCATCCTAAATCCAAGACCAATAGGTCCGGCCCCCAGCATTTAATCCAGGTGTGAGTAAACCCTACTTCTGTGACTACAGATGCTCACTAGAGCATGGGATAATCTTAGCATAATGTACAGATTACTAGATCGTGTAAAGAATGCCTAGAATGCACAGTGCAATGAAAAAAAAAAAAAAAAAGAACTCAAGGTCCTGAATTACTTCAAGATGCTGGTAACATGTTGTAAAATGCAATCAATTGTTATTGAATAATCTCCTTATTGGTATTTTGCTTCTGAAATATTGATAATTTTTAATCTTCAGATATCACTACTCTCCAAAGTAAGTTATCCTGAAAATGAGTTGATGTAAATAAATTTAAACTTAGTAAGCATCATGTCTCCTGCTGAAAGCATTCCATTTTCTACAAAGGCTTGGTAATTGAAAAATAAAAAAAAATTAACCTATGGGATATTCATGCCTTCTTAAGTACCAGATGCATTAAGTGACTGCTTTGGAAATAGTATGTTCAAATTAAAGTAACATGAACTAGCATAAATCAGCGTTAGCAACATTCCGAAATAACTGCCACAGTCACAAAAGATTTATAGCACAATCTGAAAGTACAGCATAATGTGAAATGTGGAAACAATTACATGTTCAATGACATCTGAACATGAATTGTGTGATATCAAAGTCCCCAGGTATAAATTTTAAATCTGTACATATAAATTTATGATAAATTTTAAAAGATTCCACACCTATTAAAATGCAGCTAAGGAAGAGGGGGTTTTTTGTCCATAGTCTCATCACAATGTCACAAACTAGAATTTTAAAGAATACTTATATATATGACATTTGAGTTCAGAAACAACTTGTAATCTTTGAAAGAAATTACTACAACATAAAAATGCAACATCTGATGACTAGGGAATCCCACTCTCCCAAGCTCGAAAGTACATGACCATAAAAGTTAAACCTTTTTTTATTCAAGGCAATAAAATATTAGCTACTGTTCCTTCAAAGAAAGCTTTTATGAAGGTGTGACTGCTTCAGAGATTACATTTTTACTACCAATTACTATTAAAAATATACTTTATTTACTAACAACTAGAAACTTAACTTGTAAATTGCTGATTTATACATATTAACTTTTTTGCTGTTGGTTTCAAGCTTATCATGCTTTTCTCCTTCTGTTTGAGAAGCTGCCCCTATTCATTGCTTAAACAGAAATTTGAACCTGAGAGAAGTGCACCGAAAAAGTATTTTAAGATCTCTTATTATGAATGATGTGAGCGAAGTAAATATTCAATTCACTGTGTATAGTAAAGAACTCCTTTTCGTGTGATGATTTATTGTGGAGTTTCCTTTTTTTCTGATATGCATTTACTAAACTAATGTTGCTACAGACTTTCTGGTTTCACCATTAGCTGGCAATATACTATTAAAACCAACCATTTCTGAGAGATTCCATTTTTAAGCTGCTATTATTCACAACAGTGCAACAAGAAATCCATGCCACAGTTCTTTCTAGAATTGTTAACTTACATTATTCATATTTCTCCTTGATTTTTCATTTTCAGTTTAAATCTGAAGTAGAAAACTAAGCCAAATAACCTTTGATATACCGAAAATAACAACAAATAGAAGAAAGACAAATGTTTCCAAATGCCTAGGCTTCCACAAACAGCTAAATAAATGTGGGTAATTATACTTTCAGAAACTGTTCATTGTGATCTCTTATTATACTTCTCTTTGCCAATAGATCATTACATACAAGTATGAGGAAGAGATGTAATTTAAGCTAGATAAAATGCTGTGAATAATTTTATTTAAAACCTCAGACATATAATCTTTAGGAACATAGAGCCCCTATATAATGTTTAACGACAGAAAAATTCAAACTTGCTTTCTAACACAAAAGCCTGTCTGAATTCCCCTCACCAACATACTTACTGCTTCAGCTTCTGCTCTTGTTTTGAAGGTAATCACTGCATGGAGAGATGAGTCATCTATCTGGCAGTCTTCAATTTCACCATATTGCTTTTTAAGAGGAAGAAAACTGTCAACTAGTTGAAATATTTCTTCTCCATGCAAACATGGAACAAAAAGACTATTAAGAGTCCTGGTATGACAATATGACCTTATGATCCCAAACATTCTATGATAAGGTGTAGGATCCAGAACACTCCCACAAAGTTTTTAAAAGGGTCAAAAGGAAAAATTATTTTGAATATCAGGGAAAAATACATTTTAACCAATCACAGACATCACTCTGATTATGAAACTTATAGTAGTAAAGAAAAACCCCAAAATGTCAAACATTAGCGGCAAGACCCTGAAGTTAAATTGATTTTGACTTCTAATCAAAAGACATATTTTCAGTTCCTGAAATAATTCATGAAAAACTGATCTTATTTATATATTAGTATCTGAGAACACAATTGAATATATAACCCACTGCACCACCTGCATCCCTTATAACATGCAATACTAATATTTAAAAGAATAAAATGCAATACATATTTCCCCCACTTTACTAGAACTATGTGACAATAAACTCCAGGTAGGAAAACCAAGGCATCAAGTGTTTTACACAGGTAAGGAAATGACTATGTACACCAGTTTTTCTATGCTGTACGTACATAGTACCATGGTTTGTTGATTGGTTGCTTAAGGACCAAACAACCCATCAGTTTGGGTTTTGCACATCAGAGGTTCTCTACAGAAAACAGAACTAGCATTGCGTGCATGGCAACAAATCATGGGTGAATTAACCACCAATTGCTGCCAGGACTCCTACTGTTACAACCACCCTACCCTCAAAGCTAAAACAATTCCCATGTAGAAAAATAATCATGTAAGAAGCATCTCTTATTGTGTCTCTTCGAATAATTACTGGTTTGTACCATTTTAACACAGACAAACTAGTCCAGAGTGGCATTAAAGCAAAGCTACTGTTACAGCTGCAAGAACCAGACTTCCCTGTCATTTTACCATCCTCTCCTGCACTTTTTTAACATAACTCTTTCCATTTCTTCAGAAATGGATTAAGCAAACACAATACAAGGGATTTATGAAGAAGTTCACGTTATAAATTGATCTACATTCCCTGTGGCCAAGCATTTCATTTTCATGTTATCACAACCAAAAGCATCACAGGAGATTACACTGCCAAAAAGCATCCCCATTCAGATAAGAACAAGGCAGTTTGCACATACCGCAAAATGAGGAAGGAGATCTTCTCGGTCATTCTCTGTAAAAGCAGTGATCTCAAGTGCCCTAGGACGATGATCCACCACAGCATGAACAGAAACACCTCTTCCTCGTCCCCGTCCTCGTCCTCCCCTGCCTCTTCCACGAGAGACACCACGACCTCGTGTGTGAAGTCCTCTCCCACGACCTGAGGAAAGAATTCCTCGTTTTGCAGCCTAATAAGCAATAACAAGAAGGCTTAGTCTCCATATAGACTAAGTGCTTAATATACATTACCATTGTTGTTACTAATATCGCTGTTGGATTTGCTATTTCTACTTTACAATTCTAGGATTGATAGAACTATCAGCCCCATGTTGCACAGAAAATGGGTGGGTTCAGAAAAAGGGAGAAAAATGCTGTCTAAATGTGTATAATGGATCCAAGGCAGAGGGAGTTCTGCATTAGAGATTTCTTGATTCATTGGTTAGTACACTACATTTCACAACCTCTTTTTAAAGATCACTGAAACTAAAACAGATGCATCTAGAGTAAATTCATGTAACAACATTCACAGTGGAAGCAAAGTACCCAGAAACTTTTGTTTCCACCATTCTCTAACCATTCAGTACTGATCTTTTCTCATAACCTGTAGCAGTCTGTTTTGTCTGTCTTGGCATTTGTTCATGCACAAGCCACTTAGGAAATACTGTATTCCTATGGGGCAATAAAGCTCTCGTGATCACCATCAATCAATCAATCAATCAATCAATCAATTTATGTTGTCTAGAGTCACAGGTACAAAACAGGCAGAAAATACATGGCCAAAGAATTCCTTGAGACTTTTAACTTATTTTTTATTTCCCTGTTCTTTGGGACAACATGACAACTATACTGGGTGACTGCAAGTCATCTAATAGGGCAGTAAATGCCAAAATGAAGTTTGGACACAGAAAAGTCACTTTCAAAGAAATGACATCTGAAATATTATATAAATTGTCACTACTGCCTACATGCTTTTATATGGCTATTAACATACCTCCAGACTTTTATTGCAAGTAAAGCCTGGAGGCAATAATCTGTAACATTTATTAATGGCTTGAAGGAATCAAAGCAACTGTTTTAGACTGCCATGCAATCCAGTAGGTGTAGGATTAACATGGGTCCGTTTTGTTTAATACATTATTATAAGTCTGCCCTTTGAAAAAGTCAGTTCAAGAAATGGTTACCAGTTCTAAATACCAACAGCACCATCTATGGGCACGTTCAAAAAAATGCATATGCTGCTCACAAGCTTATACTGGATATTTTACATTTTGATGTTTAGAAGTGCTGGAAGACAAGTGAGCAATACTGACAAGTTAAAAAAACAGCAGTATCATAAATAAATAAACTTACTTCAAGCTGCAGTTCTGTGTATCTTCTTCTCAGTTCAGTAACCTCTTCCCCAGCCTGCATCTTTTTATACAAGTCCAACTCTGTATCTAGTAGCTCTTTTTGCATCTAAGGAAGTATTTAATATTTAGCTTAAAAAGTATCATTTCTTCAATCACATAAAAAGATGACAATAAATCACCAAAATTTACTGGCAAGTCTGAAGGGCAAGTCACACAGACATTAGCAGACCTCCAAGTGAAGGAAGATGGCTAACTAAACTAAAGGACTCAACTCTCCCTTTTTTAAATGAGAAAGGAAACTAAGGTTCTAGAATTCATCTTGAGCACAAGAGGAAAAAGGAATGAAACTAAATTTCTATTATCACAAGCAGACCACCCTCCTCTCTTCTCAAAAAAACAAATATAGAAAAAAAACTGCAGTACCAAGTATACCTTGGGATATTACTTGACCAAGTTATTTCTCATGACCCAAAAGAAAGTGAATGGTGCAGAGAAAAAACACTTGACCTTAATGGAAAGACCTGGGTTCAAATTCTGTTTGACCATGAATCTCACTGAGTGGTTTTAGGCCAGACACTGCCTCTCTACCTCATCTACTTTTTTTGAGACTGCTGTGAAGAATCCTTTGAGAAAGTGTAAGACAAATGTGTGATCAAGACATCTGCTAAGGCTGTCCTGTCAATCTTAGACAGTATAAAAAATTAAGTAAAAAAACAGAATAAAAGTTTCTGAAAAATACAAAATCTGAGTACCTGTGTCTTCGTTTTTATGTTTTTCATTGGAGTGCTTGCAGGGGAGGAGATTCCTTTCAATTCATCCTTTAACTTGGTGATACTGTTAGTCAAAGTCTCCAGAGTTTTCATGATTTCAGCCTTGTCTTCTGATTTCATTGTTTTATTCTTTTCCAGCTTTGAAATCAGCATCTATTGAAATAATACATATTCATGACAAAAGTCTTCTGCAGGAGTACCATTTCTCAATTTTTGGAAATTTAGACTGCAATAAAGGTTTCACAGAGTAATATGAAACTTTGAAAGTAATCAAACAGGCATGAAGATGGTTCACTAAAACAGGTGAAATGAGCAAAGGAGAAGATTTGATGCCAGTTATGTTCTGGTATAAGAATTTAAGAACCCTGCTGGATCAGACCAAAGGCCCATCTATTCCAGAATTCTATTCACACACCAGCCAACCAAAATCCATACAAGCTGCAACAGCAGCTTCCCGATCAAGTTCACCTCCATCTTGTGTATGAAGGGGGACAAAATCCCCCAAGAATTTATTTATAAAAAACCATGCATTTATTTTTACATGTTCAAACTTCAGTCATCTTCAAAGTACACTCCGTTTGATGTAATACAGCTATCAATACATGTTTTTTCACTGCTCAAAACAGGTTTTGAATTTGTTGGTTTTGGTGTCTTTTGATGCCATCTGCTGTTTTTTGTTTTACCTCTTCCACATTGGCAAAACATTTCCCTTTGAGGACTTTTTTCATCCGGGGAAATGAACAAGCAAACAAAAAGTCACATGGTTGGGAGATTGGGTGAACGGGAAGGGTGGGCACAAGAGGCATGCTGTTTTTGGTCAAAAACTGCTGAACACTCAGATGAACAAAATTTCACTGACACACGTTGTTTGTGTAAGTCAGCCATCACAAAATTGGTAAATGCACTGAAAGATTTCCCCGCCCCCCCACAAAAAAGAGGAAAACCCTCACTGAAGCTGAATGCTCCCTCTGACAACAACCCAGCTGGGTCCACTGATGCAGAGGGGTTCCTAGAACACTCACCTAGAGGGGGAATCCTGTACTGCAAGGGACCTGCCCTCAAGAAGGTAATTCCTGGGTTTTTTGGAGGGGGGTTCCCCCTTGTACACAGTCACACTGCAACTGATAAAAGCAGGTTGCTTACCTGTAACTGATGTTCTTCGAGTGGCCATCTCTGCAGTCACACATATGGATGCTGTGCCTGTGCAGTGCCTTTGGCCGGAAGATTACAAGCTAACGGTTTTTGGCGGGAAAGCTCCGCTCCCCCTCCCCCATGGCCTATAAAGAGCGGAGCGTCCGCCATTTTGTTCAGTCTTTGACGACCGAACGTACACCCCCATGTGGAAAAAATATTCCTACTGTAAACGATATCGGTACCAAGAAAAAATGGAAATGTTCGGTACCGAAGAAAATATCCACTCACCGACACTGAGCGGGGCCGGTGGGTGGGTTGTGTGACTGCACAGATGGCCACTCGAAGAACATCAGTTACAGGTAAGCAACCTGCTTTTCTTCGTCGTGGCCTCTGTGCATCACAAATATGGGTAGATTAACAAGCTTACCATAATGGAGGAGGGGAGGTGTCCTCAACGAAGAACAGATGAAAGAACGGCTCTGCCAAAGGAGCAATCTTGTTGAGCCCGAACGTCTAAACGATGATGTTTGGCGAACGTGCAAGGGTTTGCCCAAGTAGCAGCCCGACATACATCGTCAATCGGTACTTCTGATGCGAAGGCAGAGGAGGTAGCAACAGCCCTAGTTGAATGGCTTCGAGGAGCTGTGGGTAAGTCAATCTTAGCCAGTTGATAGGATAAAGTGACAGTATGGACTATCCACTTAGAAAGTCTCTGCGGAGTGACAGGAGCGCCCTGATCTCTGGTAGCATATTTAACGAAAAGTCTATTTGAACGCCGAATAGATTCCGTCCTAGATCTGTAGAAGGCTAAACAGTGCCGAACGTCAAGTGAGTGCAATGGTCTCTCTAGCAGAGTCGACGGAGACCGAAAGAAGGCCAGCAAATTGATATCTTGTCCCATATGAAAGGGAGTGGACACCTTTTGGAGAAAAGATGGATCGAGCCGCAGGACGACCTTTTCTCTATGAAAGTTGAGGTAAGGTGGGTCTACGCGGAGAGCACAGAGCTCACTGGCCCTTCGGGCCGAGGTAACCGCCACTAGAAACGCTGTCTTCCATGAAACAAGACGTAAATCGACTGTTAACAGTTCGAAAGGAGCTCTTGTAAGCGCTTGCAAAACAACAGAGAGACTCCAGTTAGGCATTACTGGCCTGATCGATGGATTCAGATTATAAAGCCCCTTCAGAAACCTCTTAATAGTAGGTTGAGAAAAGATGGACGATCCATCTAGCATGCCACGATGATAGGTGATTGCTGCCGTATACACCTTAATCGAAGATGGTTTCAGTTCAGAGTGGTGTAGTTCTAAGAGGAACTGGAGAATTTGGTGTATCGATGATGTAAGTGGAGAGAACGAATGAGACTCGGCAAAGGTTGAAAATCTTCGCCATTTAGCCGCATAAGACTTCTGTGTGGAAGCTTTAGAGTGGAGTCCAAGATGTGTTGAATATCCAGATGCAAGGTTGTCGGATTCGGTGGAACAATCCTCGGATCCGACAGTGCTGGTGGATCGAAAGAGGAAGCAACGTCGACCCCAGCAGATTCGAAGGCTCTGAGTGCAGGGCAGAATTCGAATGCAGGGCAGGATCCTGCCCTCTGATTCGAGGGCAGGATTCGAACCACTTGAAGTTGCCGTTGGTACAGATGTAGCAAAATTAACTATCGGATTCGCCACGCTGTTAGTTTCAATGACAGTATATCTGGATGGCGAAGCGTACTGTCCTGCTGGGTTATGAGGTACGGAAGCAGTGGAAGATGAAGGTACTCCCCGTGAGAAATGTCAAGCAGTGTGGCAAACCAAGGTTGGTGTGGCCACCAAGGTGTAATCAGTATCCCCGTGACCCGATTGTTTACAATCTTCGCTATGACTCTCATCACAAGAGGAATCGGCGGGAAGGCATAAAAATTTAGGTTGTTCCATGGGATCATGAAGGCGTCCCCTAGGGATTCGCACCCTATCCCCGCTCCCAAACAGAAAGTCTCGCACACCTTGTTCTGTTGGGTGGCGAACAAGTCCACGTCGGGAAAGCCCCAGCGATGGAAAAGATTGTTGCGTGCCTGAGGATCTAGTTGTCATGTGCCGAATGTATAAACATTCAACTCTCCACAGAGCAATAAAACTAAAGTCCTTTAATGTTAATTGTCTACAAGATTTACAATACTATAGATAAGTTCCCTAATAGCGGTCCCAGCTAAGCAGATGTCAGCCCCATAATGGCTTCTCTTTCTGAGCCCACATGGGATCATTCTCCCAAGTCACGCCTTTCTTCTCTCTTACGCTGTCTACTTTGTAATTGTTCAAATCTACATAAAAGATGTCTGTTCTCGGTTTTTGAGAAATCTATGACACCTATAGTGTCTTCTGTTTCTGCCTCAGGGAGATCAGTGTCAGGAGGGGAGGAGACAGTTTGCGCTGCCTCTTTCTGAGTAGAACTTGCAGCTCCCTCTTTCTCATGACTCTCTCTCTCTGATAAAGGTCCAGGTGTTTGCTCAACGAGCTGGGGCTCAGGGGAAGACGCAGTAGCTGGTTCAGCTGCCCCTGCATTGGGTTGTGGGGGCGACTCTTGGGCACAGGGTGCCAAGTGCAAGGTCTCCTCGTGAGTCACTGTTTCTGTCAGAGCTTCATGCACGACACTCGTTCCCATTCATGAGAGGTAAGTATGCGCCTGCTGAGAAGGTCCGCTTCCACATTGCCCGTACTGGCCAGATAGACTGCCATTAGTGTAATGTCTCTCAGAATGCACCAGTCCCAGATCTGCATAAAGTCTGGCCAGGGTTGGAGATTTCGTCCCACCTTGTTTGTTCAGATAAAAGACAGTAGCTATGTTGTCCGACATTATCTGAACGACCCGACGTTGAAGAACATCTTCGAAAGAACATAGGGCTTTGAATACTGCCAAGAGCTCCAGGAAGTTGATATGATTCGTGGATTCCTGATGAGTCCACGTGCCCTGGGTATACAGGCTGGAGCATACTGCTCCCCACCCCAGAGGAGACGCGTCGGTACCGATGGTTATCGATGGGCATCGGGGCCTGAAGGGGACCCCAACAGTCAAATTGGCCGGGACCGACCACCATAGGAGAGAGTGGAGCACTGAGGATGGAACTCGGAGCAACTTCCTCGGAGGAACTCGGGGATATGACCACATCCGCCTCTGTCGTGGTCATGGGCATAGGCGTGGGTGACCTAGCCCTGGGGGGAGAGTCTTGAATTTCCCCATCAGAAATCGACCCCCGCTGAAGAGTTGGCAGCGGCTCGGTGGGAAGGTCGGCCACACGTCGAGGGGATCCTTGGGGGGTAACCCTCATAGCTGCCTGGAGTACCGGCTCGGGTGGGGTCGGTATGGTAGCTGCCGCCGGTACCGAGGCGGCCGTCGAACCCAAGTCACGGTGCCGTGGGCGCTCCAGGTCTTCTGGGTCGGTTTAGGAGGCTTCTCTTTCCTGGCCTTCTTTGCTGATTTCTCGGTATCAGCATGTTTGTGCTTCTCACGCTTCTTTTTCGGAGAAGCGGGTGGGACCCTCATGGTAGACGCACCTTCGTCTGAAGGGCGTGAGGGCGGGACCACCATGGTAGGGCCAGGCTTCGGAGAGATGACGAGTGGGTCGGACTGCATGAGAGCCCGATCCCACAAGAGCCTCTGGAGGCGGTTCTCATGATTTTTCCTGGCCTGCTTAGAGAAGGCCAGGCAGTGAGAGTACTTGTCGGTCCTATGCCCCTCCCCCAGGCAGAGGAGGCATAGGTCATGCGGGTCAGATGGAGACATCTTCGACCCGCATTCCGTGCATTTGCAGAAAGCCGCTCGCTGCGCCATCACAAGAAAGGGAAAAAAGAAGACAGTGCAGAGGGTAAGAATATATTTTTGGTTTGTTCGGGTTTTTTTATAGAAAACCAAAAGAAAGGTAGAACGATAGAACTACAGGACTAACAAGAACTATAGAGACAACGAGAACTAACAGGGATATAATAACTGGGAGAATAATAGAGAAGAAGAGTACTATACAAGTAACGGTCAGAGCGA